TTCTATTTTCTAGAAAAATGTACATTTTTTTATAGTTTTAACCCTCGAGCGGGCGCGTCCGGTATTTTGTACCGCACTTTTACTAATTTCGTTAAAACAAAATATCCATTGGACATAGGTCGGAAATATGCCTATTTAGGGATATTTGATACCCTGGCTCGTAGTAGTTACGTATTCAGCGATTTTGGTTCAGTAGCAATTCTGTCGTAAACCTGACAACTACAGAACTTGCGGTACCGCGTGTCGCTACGCGCCCGTTTATGTAAGTAAAATAGTTATATTATTAAATTATTTTGCTTTAATTTTAAATTGTTAATTAATTTTATAACAATATGTTAAATATATGTTATATAACCTGTAGTAATGACAGAAATACAAACCAGTACACAAACTTCCCAGAGATTTCCAAGTTTTCCTCTGTAAATATGCTTCAGAGGCATGGTACAAAGAAAACAAGGTATGATCGATAGCGGCTCCAATTTCGTTAAGTTTGCGCATACCACCTGTGACGTCATACGCCATACAGAAAAATATCCATATTGTTCAATTGCCACTAATAAAAAAGAGACCTATAATAGGGAAGAATCAGGACATAACCCCAAAAGTTATGTCAAATTATCGAGCTTGACATTCGAAAAATTATTTTCGCGTTTATTGTGTCATCTGTTTGACAATTTGAAATTGGCGCGCGGAGCTTGCCGACCAATGGTGCCGTTTATCACCTGTGACGTAGTAACCAACCTGCGCAATATCATAGCTTGTATTCTTTGTATCATGCTTCAGAGGTACTAGTTAGAGACAATAAGAAGCGAGTTGGTCCCTGTCATGTATGTGAAATCCATAAAACCACTAGTTTTTGCAACTAAGGTAACAAATTTGTCCGCCAAAAATTACAGTGACGAGCCTTATCAATTGTATATCACCGGTAGATATCTACCTATAGAAGAAATAGAAGAAGACTAAATATTTAGATGATAGTTTCATTCTCTTCCAGTGGTTAAGAAGATTTTTTTGAATATTTACAGGGTTCTGTTATGTTTAATTTATTATAATATGTTCGGTATGATTTAGTTGTCTTCAGTTGACAAAGTTATTTTTTTTATTTTGAATACTAAAAATGTTTAGTTCGGTTCCTTTTTTTATAATACGTTTAAGTTTTTTTATGTGTTAATAAAGTAAATAATATGTATTAAAAATGTTGCTTGTTACTCTTTAGCATGCTAAATATTACAATAAAATATTTTAAGTTACAGAATATTTAAAAAATATAAATGCGGTGCGGAATACCCTGCGCGCCCGGTCGTGTGATTGTAAAGTACGCGCCTGTCCGTGGGTTAAGTTAGAGGCTTATGTTATTGAAGGACAAATCATTATATTGTCATTACTTTGATAATCAAAATGGGAACAAATAATAAAAATGAAAATTTAGAAATGTAATTTTTATTTCTAAATTTGTTATTCTAGATTACCGGAATTTGATGTTAGGCCTTATAAATTTAAAGATTTATAAAATAATCGAAAAATAGGGTAAAATTGTTGATTGAAGAAAGCAACCTTATGGGCGATTTCGTGGCACAAAACATGCCCGAGATGTAGCCGGCGTTACCGTCAGCCTGTCCGAGGTTTAGTTTAGCTCTGCGCCGCTGCTGATAATCGTTTACAGCGCAGCGGATAATGTTCCATATAGTTCTGAAGGTTTTGCTTTCAGTCGGCAGAGTGAGTGGTTGCCAGAGACAGTGTTGTCAAAATTACGGGTTAATCCATAGATTTACGGATTTTGGGTACAGTACGTTAATATAGATTTTCTATCATTAAACAATTTAATATAATATTTTATGATTAAACACAGAACGGCCTCAGAGTCGGCTTGGAAATGAAGATTCCTGTTATTTCGTGGTAAATGTCAATAATCGTAATTTCCAAGCCATCTAAATGACTTTGTGCGATCATACGAAGATCAAACACGAATAAATTTTCAATACATAAATGCGAATTTTTCATCCAAAGATATTTTCGTCAAACTTATTACAGATATTATACATTTTAATATGGCAACACTGTCGCATTTGGCACATTGTCTTCGATATGCCTTCGCTGGCCGGATTAGAGAAAATAAGTATTTTGTGCGTTGGCTGCAGAACGATTGGGTGGCTCCACCGTACAGCCACCGAATCAGCACTTGAGATGTAAAGGGAAATCAAATTAGCCCTGTCACGTATTCGCCCATTAGATTGCGTATCTTCCCAATTCTTTCAATCAACGCTAAAATATTATTAGTGAATTATTAACAAGTTTAACTGCTGTTGCATAAATTTAAAAAAAATATTTGACGAATTTCAGTCTTGTGACACTAATACTCGAACTATACGTCTTCGTAGTAATTTAAGTTAATAAAATAAGCCCCACACTCACTATGCGGCGATTGCAGTAAATGCAATGGATTGTGCGATGGAACGGCTTTTTATTGTGAATGTGGACCATCAAAAGAATTATCACAAACACAATGGGCGAATTTCTAAACGAACTAACGAATAGCATCGACAAACCACATCATACTCACTATGAGTACATGGACGCATGAACGAATCAAATCGACGCGTCAGCCTCAGTGGTTTACTGGTTTAATATTGTCCACAATAGTTTAATTACCATAATTATCACAATCATATATATGTCGTATAAAATGTCAATCCCTTCACACAGACAGTGTTGAAATTGGGCACATAAAAATCCATATGTTGATGAAAATGAAAATTTACTAGCTATCGATGCGATAATATAGTATATTTTCGCCCGATCTAATGGTGCAAAAATTCAACATGGGGCCACGAGAAAACTAAAAATTTGACAATCGTTGCTCGAAGTCCCGAGTCCTTACGAATTTTCTGAAAACTGTCACGACTTCGGAAGTTTCTGACCGCGATCAAAATATAAAACTATGAAACTTTGTTGCTATTATTAAAATAGCAGTGAATTCATTTAACATAAATGTATTTATTATGTTTTTAAAGTATAAATCAAAAACGAATCGAAATGTCAATGTTTTCTTAACATGCAATTGACAATACGGTATCTACGTATTAATGCATCTTTTTCGTGCCTCTCGTAGTTTCCAAGATAACCCCATAAATTGTCACCCACTATGCAGGGTCGGACTGGGCTAGAGGGGCCCTGGTGGAATTGTGAGAAGGGACCCGGGTGGATTTTTTTTCGCCTTACGTTTTGGTCAATTGTTCCCTATATTGATTTGTGTTTGAAATCAGAAAACTACCCGTAATACAATTATTCAAATGTAAATATTGTTAATCCAAAAAAAAGTTTTGGGAATAACCTCAGAATATTACCGTCACTTTTTTCCGTTTCATTTCTACACTGAAAAAGACATATAAAACAGTGGCGGCTCGTCAGATGCAGTAAAAATACTCAAATTAAAGAAAAAACTTTACTGCTTAAAATATTAATTTAGTTTAATATATTTACATGCATTTAAATAATAAAATGGTTATTTTTTAGAAGTTATTTATTTTTTTCGGGGCCGACCTCTGCATAATAGGTCTACCGCATCATTAATTCCGGCCGAAAAAGTAGCATTATAGGCCCGCGCGCGCCTACAAGCCAGAAGCTGTGCCAGAAGTGCAAGTGAAAATGTTTCTATTTCTGGGCCAAGCGGCTGCACGGTTTCAATGGTAACGCGACGTCAGCCTAGCGGCAGATGTAAATCCCCCCGCCCCGAAGTTTATTATCGGTGACCGATGTGAATGAGTTTTTGGTTTTGGGCAGTTCTCTTCGTCTTCCTTTTGTTCAGGAAATGCGTGACGGCGGCGCATAATTTATGCATTTATGCTAATATTCGGCTACTTCGGCGAGTAATTAACCGTGTAAAGACTGTAAAGTTGTTGTTGTTATTTATTGTTGTTTGTTAATGGCATTTGTTGATTTAACTTGTTAATTTTTGCCGATTTTTGCTGTTTGTTTTGTTGTTGTGTTTTAAAACTGTTTTGTGTGTGTGTATGTGTCAGTGGCGGCTCGTCAGGTGCTGTAGGTGAAAGGGCACTTCACCGAAAAAATACTCAAATTAAAGAAAAAACTTTACTGCTTAAAATATTAATTTAGTTTAATATATTTACATGTATCTAAATAATAAAATGGTAATTTTTTATAAGTTATTTACTTTTTTCCGGGCGGACCTCTGCATAATAGGGCCACCGCATCGTTAATTCCGGCCGAAAAAGTAGCATTATAGGGCTGCACGCGCCTACAAGCCAGAAGTGAAAATGTTTCTATTTGTGAGTCAAGCGGCTGCACTGTTTCCATGGTAACGTGACGTCAGCCTAGCGGCAGATTTAAATCCCCCCGCCCCGAAGTTTATTATCGGCGACCGATGTGAAGGAGTTTTTGGGCAGTTGTCTTCGTCTTCCTTCAACTTAAATTGTTCAGGAAATGCGTAACAGTGGGCGGCGGCGGCGTTCGGCGTTGGTAAAGTCCGGCGTTGGCACATATTGATATAAAACGTCACGAGCCGCCACTGATATAAAACAAAAAAAACTACAACATTGCACCACACACTGTACTTAGATTTTTGAAAACATATGACACACAATTGTTGTATTAGCTAAGTTATTATTCTTCCCCAACTCAGTTTACAATAGTGCCTAGTAACAGCAAATTGTATCAAAAAAATAGTTAGTAGTGCTACAATTTGTAATAATGATTTTCATTTAAATTTCAACGAGTACAATCTGAATATTCTCTCGATACAAATTGTGAGAATTGCCACCACACTGGTTCGCTATTTTCGTAAAATATCAAGCATATTTAAGTATTTTGGAGATCTTGTGATCTTGAAATAAAAGCTACAACGTGATGCCTAGTACCAATTTAGACGCAAAATGCAGCAGCAGTAGTTTCTACAATTGTGGGGTTTGTTACAATTTATTTTTTCCGTGTATTTAAGAACCGACCTCCGACCCTGCCACTATGTATATAAACACACCACTTACCGATCGCACTTCTCTGATGGGTCTGGTTGTGAGATTCTCTGATGAATAAATAGGTACGTCCATGTCGCTCATGCTGGAGGATATGCTGGCGTTCTGCCTCTCCATTCCCGGAACCTGGAGAAGCCTCATAGCCTGTTGCTCTGCTATTGTAGGGCTTTTCAGATAATGACTCTCCCGTACAAAACCGACACCATCGTCGTCATCGCGATCCATATCGGCAAATGGAATTGACATAATGCGCAAAGAGTTTTATAATATCGGCAGAATTTTTGTCAGGAACCTGAAAATAATTATTTATCATAAGAATTATTTTTAGAGAATTTCTTAATAATAAACTTAAGAATAGATAACAGCTAATAAACCATACTCATTGAACGTATATAGACTACAAAGATACGTTTAGTGAGAGCTATTCGTATTATATTAACAATTATAAAACATTTCCATTTGACTACAAGAAGAACATAGATTCTTGTAGTCAAATGGACAAATACATACCAACATACCTATATTGAACATACCTATGTTGAAAACTTTAATTCTTAAATGCAAAAGAACATATTGAATTTAAAGAATATGCGATAACCTATCAAACACTACCAACCATATCAGTTTACTTTACTATTTTTGTTGTTTATTTGATGTAGAAACCGGTATCCAAGATCAAAACCAGTGTGGGTGTCGACACCAGCACACTGAATTAGCCAATATTTGGCCACCGGTAGCCACTTGACAATAAGTAATATTCCCCGAAAAAAATATACTAAGTTCTTATCGGGGGATAAAAAATGCACAACCATTTAAAGCTTAGTTTTCATGTACCTGATGAAATTTCGCAAATTATTTTTTATTATGGAAAAAATTATTTCTTGGTTTTTTAAAAGTAGAAATTAAAAGTTTTGAAAATCCAAATATTACTTACAAATATTATTACCGGTACATCTTATCAATATTTGAGGCGTCAAATTGCAAAACCCATCTTATCCCAAAAACGTTGTTTCAAGATAATAGCAAAAATTGTTTTAGCGCACATTTGAAGCGTTATTTTACAAAAAAACTTGTTCATTGAGTGGAATCATTGTTTTGTATCTGATTTTTCTAGAAACATTAATCTTTATTTTTTAAAGAGAAAAAACACATAAATAATTCGGATACGGCGGGTTTTGTTGCAGTATGATGCATGTTGTGGGTTTTGGACAGGCGGTTTTGGTACAGCAAGATATTTGCATCCTAACTTGATTTATTAGATATTTTATTTTATTAAATTTGGGTAAGGATTTGAAATGGTTAAGTAGTAATATTATAATTGTGTAAAATGCTTATGAAAAAATTCGGGATAATGACAATTTGCAATTGCAATTTGCAACTGCAACAATAATGACAATAAAAAGCAAGTGTAAGTGGATAAGATAGACTTTGGTGCAGTAAGGTAATTTGTAGGGAATTTTATGTAGGAACTGCAGTTTCGGACTATGTTTATGTAAATTTCCCATTCCACAGAGGGGCTACTATGAATATATGTCATTAGGCCATTTTTTTAAATGGATAGGGCTGGTTTTGCAACTTGACGCCTCATTTGTATGCTATTTTAGATAATAAATATCTTACAGAAATATGGACTGTCCAAGGATTTCGCCAGATGACATCCAAAAAATGGCAGAAAGTGCAATTAGCTTTGAGTTAAAATTACGGACATTAACTGTCATTATTCTGCCGTGTATATAGTTATCGTATAGGAAGGACTATATTAAAATATACGGTGGAGATTTACCAAACATATCGTGTATCCAATACTATCCATGACAATAGTTTACTCTATGTAATCATTAAAGCGATTACATTCACTCAGCTTAAGACGGACTATGACGACTCGTGTACTTGGATAAACATATGTTATTGGCATTTACTTGCCATATCGTGTGAACGGTTGTTTGTCACTCGTCGCGCCGCTCTAGCGCCAAGTTTGATGCAAAAAAAATGTTTACAAAGATAGTATACTTGCCAAGTACGCAAATATTGGCGTACTTGCCAAGTACACGAGTCGTGAGAATCCGCCCTTATACACAAAATATTAAAAATTAGTTTTTTTTGTTCACAATCAGCTATAAACTAATAGTAACAGTTGGTTTGGTGTCATTTTATTTACTATCAACGATATCCTTGGTTCATAGATCCACTTGTACAGGATGTCCGATTTTGGTTGAAATCGTACGGTATCTCCATTATTAGTGAAGATTGTGAAGATAAGGGTCCGGTTTGCACAAACCTGTCCCACTTTTTTGTAAGACCGAAGATGCCGTAAACAAAATGTTCATAGCCCTCTTCGTTTCTGAGCTACAGGATCTTATTGAAAATTTTGCAATTTGGGACACCCCCTGTATCTCTTTTATGGTTAAAGCTATCGAGAAGGCGACAACTGTTTATTGTAGAACTTTTTACGTAGTCTGTTTTTCTACGAAAAGAAGATATGAACTAAAGTTATGTTTTCTTAATTGGAACAGTGTATACTTATAAATTATATTTATGATCTGGCTTGCCATAAGCTTCTCTAAAATATATATCACTCTATATTTATTTTCACTATTTACTGCAATATTAAAAAAAAATAATAATTTTTCATATATATAAGTAGGCCATGATTGATAATAAAAGAAACTGAAGAATTATTAAAAGTATACTGCTATTTGTCTCTTGTTTTATTTTGAGAGCCACTAATAAATTCTTTATATATTAGGGAAACTTAACTTTCTACCGCTATTTATAACTCTTGGAAGCTATTGTATCGGAGATTTTAGATATTCTTTTATCTAATTTACCTGAAATATAGGTACTTTTAACAAGATGGGGCTCCCCCTCACAACTTTGAAAATATTAGAATTTTGTTAAATTACTATTCCTCAAATCATTAAATTGGAACCAATGAACCCATATGATGGCCTCATCGATTCTTGGATTTGTCCGTTCCCGATTTCTGATATTGGGGATTTTTGAAATATGAAATATATAATCGTGGCAACTACAACAATGTCGAACACCTAAAAAATACTTTAATAATGCAAGCTTTTAGATATTTGCAAACCCATCCTGTTATAATAAATTCCGTTATAAAAAAAAAGAAAAATATATTCACAGATTCAGTGGTAACAGTTCAAAAGTTCATCCCAAATAAAATTTTAATACGTGTATGACTATTTTAGTAAATACCAATTTGATTTTTTTTATATATAAATATCAGGGCCTACTAATAAATAGCTTTGTACGGGTTCTTATTATTACCGATTCTGAACCGTCCTAGAACTAGACAGCACATGCGTAAATTTAATAATTTCTTTATACGTCCTTCTGCGCATGAGTATCACAGTTCTAGAACGGTTCAGAATCGGTAATAAAAAAAAACCGAATTAAGCTAGAAAATGATATATTTTAAATATTGCAGTAAATAGTGAAAATAAGTATAGAGTGATATATATTTTTGAGATGCTCATAGCAAGAAATATTATATGATTTACAAATATACGGGGTGTTCCATTTGAAAAAAAAAACATAACTTTAGTTCATATTTTCAAAAATATTTTTTTTGTAGAAAAACAGACTACGCCAAATTAGACAGTTTTCACCTTCTCGATACCTTTAACAAGAACAGAGATACAGGGGATGTCTCAAATTGCAAAATTTTGAGAAAGATCCTGTAGCTCAGAAACGAAGAGGGCTATGAAAATTTTGTTTTGCATCATCTTTAGTTTGACAAAAAAAGTGGAACAGGTTTGTGCAAACCGCCTTCTCCTATCTTTACTAATAATTGAGATAACGTATGATTTCAACCAAAATGGGACAACCGTAACAGTAATTAGTACTTACATTAATTTTACTAAAAAATATAAATAACTACAAATTGCAATGCGCTAACCCTTATAAAAAAAAGGTTTAGTAAAAGCCAGTTATGTTTACGAAAAATCCTTACCTCTGTAATAGAACATTAACGACTCCCTGGGATGAAATGGATGCGGCACTAACACCAAATAATTAATTTACCTTTGAGGGCAATAAATGTCGTTTTGTCCGCCAAATTGGACACGCGTCGTACGCACAAGACGATTATTCCGGTTCCGTTAAAAAGTTACTGAGTGACCTCTCAAAGGCGAAATCCAAGCGACGGTCAAAATTTATTTTTAAATGCGTCGCGGCGCTATTACGTCACGAGCCAGCCGCCGTCTTTTTTTCCACGTTTCGTCAATAGAAAACATAGAAGTTTACATTACCACTCGCTGGGGTAAACAGCCAACTTGGCGAGTAATAAAGGGTGGGACAAACATTAGACAATATGTTTTATTTTTATGTTTTAGCTCATTCGGATAGGAAAGCCAGTTTTTATTAATATATTCTGCAATTACCACCACCAAAGGTAAACTGATTAGCTGTATTTTCAGTTGCCTGCTAACATTGATATGTGTGTAAAAGTAAAATCCTATCAAAGAATATTACAGGGTGGTCAAGTGTCCCCAAAAGGTTTTCAATTAGAGTTTTTAAAAATATTTTCCACCTTTACATATTATTTTTATCCCCCCAGAAAATCATCACAAATCATGATTGATCATAACAATCATGATTTGAGCACAAAAACAAAACTTGCGGTGTACAGAGCAATAATAATCCCCACCATGTTATATGGAATCGAAACGTGGATGCCCTACCGCCGGCACATGAACGCAGACACCTTAGACAACTAACTGTTAAGAACAATCAATTAAATCTAAAACAACTAGAACAAAACCTAAACAAAATCAAGTGTCAGAGCTGTATAATCTGTATAATTGGCTTTATTGGTTTATTTAATTATTTTTAAGTGAAAATTTTTTGGCTAAATAAAACACTAATTCACCACAACACACTGTAATAATAAGAGCCTTGTCATTTTTATTAAAATCCAAAAATTCTTATATGTGATATATTAAAAATAAATGACATTTGAAGTTCCGTTCTAATGAGCTTAACTGAACATCTATTGCTAGCGTCTGTCTACTTCAACAACTTGAAAATATATAAATAACAACCTTAAACAATAAAGGCATATATCATTTACTGTAGTTTTAAAAATACTTTAATTTTTTTATCCTTTTTGGCAAATTTCCTTTACGCAAATTTTTATTATCGAATATTTATGAAACATAGTATCAATATCTACTTATTTTAATTCTAAAATTTCTAAGATTTTAATTAATTCATGGAAAATAACTATTTTTAAATTCAAGAAATTAATAGGTAAACATGTATTTTCAATGATAAATTTTACAATTTTATTGTTTAATAAAAACGTGGCTATTAAACAAATAAAAATCGGGACATTAGGGCTTTGCGTGGGGACGTGGGACTTTTGGATTAAAATCGGGACTGTCCCGACAAAATCGGGACGGGTGGCAGCCTTGCCTCAAAAGTCCAATTCGCTCCCAGGAGGGGAAGTTTGAAAAAACCGCCGCCATGTCCGATTTTGTCACTTTTTTCAAATATCTCTGTTTCGAAAAAAACTAAATATGGACGGTTTTGTAGAGAATTAATTTAATTACTCTAGAGAAAAAGTGATGTAAAGTAAAATGTTTGAGATTTAATTCTCTACAAAATCCGTCTCTTTAATTTTTTTCGAAAAACCACACTGGGACCGAATGGGACTTGGATTGGTTGTAATATTCTGATTTCAACATTACTCTCTTAAAGCTCTTAATCTCAATTGTACATTTAGAGCTTAGAATTGAAGAGATTCCTGTATGTGGTGATGAAAATTATTGATTAGGGTAAAAGAACAGCTTATTGACAATATGGCGAATAAACGTTTTAATTTGTATTAATTTAGAAATGGACATTTTTTTGAAACTTAACTATGTAAAATTCACACAATACTGAAGTGACCAAATAGAATGACCACTCAACTTAAAAAAAGTCGCAAAAATTACAAAACTTTCAAATGAAGTTTGTTTAAAGACAGAATATTTAAGTGTTGTTGTCAATCATTTCAGTTATAGTAAATTGTTATTTTTGTTTTTATTTTTATATTATATATTAATGTTTATGTATTCTTCATTCTTTCACTGGATAGACTAGTTATAGGAATAAGTATTATTTAAAAGAAAAATTAAATAATTGATTTTTTCAATCTATACAGGTTTGACGTTTATTTTGTATAGTGTGTTGTTATGTGTTTCCATTCAAGTTTATAGTAATTAAATACAAAGTTTAATTTACAAAGTTTGTTTTAACAATTAAATAAAAAGTTAAGCACAAAGGTTTTTTTTAAGAACATTTTCCTCATATATTCAATTATTTTCAACATACTATCTAAAAGAAAAAACAATATATATTCTCTTCATTAATTATATCAGTGTGCTACACTTAGATAAACAAGAGATGAACATACATTTTGGATTTGTATTATAACATATAAGCATTCAAATTAATTATTTGAGAATGATTAATAAAAAAACATACTATGACAAAAAAATATTTAATAAATATGAAGATCATTACATATTTAGAAATAACTTCTTAAAACTAGTTGTTTTAAAAAATATTTGTTTTGATTAAAAAAAATATGTTATTTCAATTATATCTTAGTTTTTGCAATATGAGCCATTCACTGCAATATTAGATTAACCCCATTTTTGAAAAATCTTAATTTTAAGTGTAAAACATGTGTAAATCCATTTTTACATCATATTTACATCATTTTTTCAGACATTAGAGAAATGGTAACCTCTGATGTTTGGAAAAATGTTAAAATAATTAACAAATATAAAAAGTTATGAATGTACCAAGTGACTCTATACTAAAGACTTTTCATAAAGCGGAGTTAATTGAATTGTGCAGTGAATACTTCATGAAATAACTAAAGCAACAGATGTATGTACAGAGAATTACTTTGGATACTAATGTATCTGCAGAAAATTCGATATACCAGACACATATAAAAAAGATCATAAAAGTTGTTGTTTGTTCAACTTTAATGGAATATAAATAGTTTTAATTTTCTATCCTACAGTTTCTTCCTTACCACTGTAAGTTAAAGGATCAAACAAGAAGACATTATTGATTGGTGCTTCTTTTAATGATACTGCTTTAATGACTTCTTGGGCAATAACACCTCCTAGGACGGCACACACTGGTACTATTTCACCAAACACAAGTTCAAGCAATCCATCATCCAGTTTTTCTTGATCGATACCATACAAATCAAGAATTTCTGATTTAATTTCTTGTAAAACTTTTATATCCTTTTCCTTATTTGAAATATCTGGGTTGCGCTCCTGTCTGTCACGAAATTCCAATAGAGCTGACAAAAAAAAAGAAAAAAAATTATATTAACTCCTTTCCAAGTAAATACAAACTTTACTTACTCAGCATAAGAAAGAAATATTCGTTTCTCCTCTTTACTTTCTTAATATGTTCAACACTTTGCTTGGTATTAGGCAAAATTATCACTTTATTCAATTCCGGATAAATAATCTCAGATTTGACCTTCACAGTCTCTTTTTCAGGTTTAGTTTCAGTTCCATCGTGAGCACGCTTTTTGGCAATTAACTTCACTTGATCTCTAAATAGAATTTAAAATCATACTCAAAATACTTCTTTTTTTTTAAATACTTACTCAAAATATTCATGATTTAAGAAATCTGCTACAGAAAACCCAAAGGTGCCAAACACATCTCCCGCAATAAATTTTATTTTCTTGGAGCGACAAATCTTGTCAATTTTCAAGAGAAAATCAGTTTTAAGGCCCGTTGCTATAATAATTGTAAAATCTTCGAAGAATGTGCCATCTTTAGAAGTTGGAGAGGATGTATCTGCTGATATTTTGACTAAAGGATTTAAAGCCTGTGCTTTAAGTAATACTTCTTCAGCAATCTAAAATGATATAATATTAATAATAATAAAAGCCAGTTAAATAACCCAATTCTACCTTTTTACCAATACTATCTTTACTTAACAAAAAGTTCTTCAGTTGTTCTTCCTCTGTTACAATACCATCGTCGAGTACAACTAGTGAATTTATACCAGACAGTAGTATATTTTTTGCAATTTCTGACCCCAGTCCTCGAATACCAATAAGTAAAATATTAGCAGCCCTTAATCTGCAAAAGTTGGGATTATCTTGATTATAATTTATACAGTGAATATAAGAAATATAAATTACCGTTCTTGTGATTCTATCCCCCATAAACGAATTTGTCGGTCATATAATTCGGCTTCAACAGCAGACAGTTGTTTTTCGCTCATGTTGTTCTTGTTCTTTTATAAAATATGACGCACAATATGTATTTTCTTCGGCTTAAAATAACTTACAACGATTTAATGATAGTGTAATGCAGAGAAAGCGTGTTCGTGTAAATTTAATGTTTATGAAAATATTTCGCACGGCAAAAGAAATCTAACCCTATTTATTTTTTCCGGTAATAAGCGTCCAATCCACAGACTAAAAGAAGATATATCACCATAGATCATAGACACATCATAGATCCCGGAACCAAATCATGTGTATATGTGGTTGCACAAAAGTGTATATGTGTGTACGGTTGCCTGTTATTCCCGGGCCGGTTTCCATTTTCCCATGCACCCCTGGGAACTGTCATTTTTTAGATAGGCTGCGAAAAGAAATGCCGCTATTAAAAATTTTTCATAAAAATATTTGAAAATTCTGACTTAAATCATATCTAAAAAAACTTAAATCTTTTCTAAAATGACTTAAATCTTTTAAAACGTTTAATCTTTTTTTAATGACTTAAGTATCTAAATCTGCAATTATGTCCATTTAAAAAAAGCCACTTGGATCATTTTTATTCTATGCCCCTTAGTTGAGTTAAACTTTGCTTGTAGTTAAACTATACTGTTTGTACTTAGTTAAACCATATACTGTAATATATCAGTGTGTAATGTTTGCCTTTAATTTATTTGGAGCTAAGCTGCAAACCTATTTTACTACTTATTAATCAATGAATCAATAACCGGTGATAAAAATGATAATTTTTGCGATATACTTACCATTTCGAACATTTGAGCACTGAGGGTTTTATAGACAGTTACAGAAGGGCGCACGTATAAATAATATAGTTGTTAATTTCACTCTAGACTAATTTTACATTCTTAGTGTACATGTTGGCACGAATTATTCTAAAGTCATGAGAAAGGTATGTAAAAATCACTATTATATTTTACAAAATCATTATTACAATGTTTATACCAAATACCAAAAAACAAATATTAATCGTATACAGTGTAACCCCAAAAAGCTCCGTAGCAGCTTTCCTATTTAAATTATTTACGCAAATCATGTTTACAAAATATTCTGGCGTTTTAAAATACTGTATTTTATACAGGGTGTCCCAGAATAAGTAGTAGTAGTCCATAGCAAGTATTTTAAGGGTGGTAGATATGGTCAAAAGAAACATTTTTTCTCTTTACCGTTTTTTAAATAAGTCCATAATAACCGAGTTATTTTACTTTGAAAATTTAAAAAAATTCCTTTTCGCTTAAATTTTGAGAACCACTGGATCTTTTCTGGATTTTCTTTCATGTAAATTTAATCTACTACCTATGTTGTCATAATATCAAGAAATTATGGTTTTTAACTTAAAACTTCAAACCAAAAATTTTTTCAAAAAATTCCAAACTTAAAAAAAATTTTTTTTCGCAAAAAATACCTCATTGGCGTGTTTCTGAGGCCGAAATATACTACCAGTTAAAATACCTGCACTTATTTCTGGGACACCCTGTATAAAGGATGATACTTTTTTCAAATCTCATTGATACTTTTACGCAAACGGTATATTTGTTTATTGTATACTGATTATTTTAGTGATTTAATTTGAGCTTTTCATAAATAGTAAAATTGTTTTTTTGGTGGGAAAGATTTTAATTTATATCTTTATATCTCTCTTTTTTTGTTGTATTTGGCGGTGAATCTAAGTTTGATTTTTGCCAACAAAATTCCGTGAGATATGTAGGTTTTGGTTAAAACTCCGCAACTATAAACATTTTGAGAATCATAGCAATCAAAAATCAAGCACTTACACAAAATTTCCTTCAAACTCAATCCTTGGTGTTTTTTTCTGATTAGGCTCTGGCGCCAATTCAAAATTAGCATATAGCATATTTTAACGAAGAATACCGTTCTTTTCACTGCAAATTCGGAAAGTGTCCAAAACCATTAAAAAAATGTACAATAAAAAATTTGAAAAAGTAATACTGTTGTAATACCTAAGTTATAAATTTAGTCTATAAATTCCAGTATTTCTGCTAGTACTCTCGTTTCTAACAGGACGATGAAGATGTCAGTGTTATCCTACTTTGATATTTGATGCTCTCTTAATATTAATTATACTATCTCTCTGGTTATGAGCACCGGGAACTTCTATATCAGTAATAATTGTGTATTTATTTACTTAATCATTTATTTTGTCATTTCAAATATAGGTCTGTTGGCCGTTATTGTTTTTTATCGAGAGATTGCTTTCATCAGGCTGTTCCTTAATGACATGGTAATATTTAAGGGGGCGATCCTTGGATCTATTTTAAGAGAAAAATTTCTTATGAATGTGTATTCTAAACATCTTAATTTCTGAGATACAAGTTGGTCAAATTTTCTAAAAAAAAACTTTTTTTCTATAATAACCCTGATTTTATTATAGATATCTTTATGAAACTTTATACACGTTTTCCGTTACAAAATATCTTTTTTGATGCACAAAGAATTTTATTTATTTCTACCAGTGACGTCCATACGGGTTTTACATTGAATATTTTTCGAGAAGAAAGTGGTTAGGCCCCTCTGACTTCTCTTAAAATAAAAATGATTTTCAAAATCCCTAAACATTTTTTATCTCTTGATTTTTTCGTCCGATGCATAGTTTTTGTTTAAAAAAAATAAAACCAGTTTACTGCAGGGGCAAATCGCTGAAAATCTGATACTGTGACTGTTGTGTAGAAATCATTTCTGCATCGGCTGAAAGAAATAAGTATTTTGATGCAAGAAAGACGTGTATCAAATATACCATCAGAGAGACAAAAAAAAAATAGAAAATTTTTACCATCCTGTATCTCAAAAAACAAGATATTTAGGACATACACTTGGGACATACATTCATATGATGTTTTTTCTTAGAGTATGTTCAAGAATCACTTCCTTAAATATTAGTAACTTAAACCAGTATATTTAAAGTCAGATATTAAGTTATTAGTTTTTGTTTACCTATTTTGGTACTGCATTTTCTTTAGAATCTTTTTTATTCTCGTATTAAGAACCTTCGATTACAAGTCACACTTGTTTGCTTCAAGCTTAACGAATATAAGTACTACATTAAGTGTAGTATAAGTACCGTATGATCGAATAAAAACGGCGTCAGCGATGGCTATGAAATGAAGATCGCTGTCATTTTATATGTAAAACTATTTATATAGGAAATCGATCGTCATTTCCAAGCCAACTGGACGCCGTTTTTATTCGATCATACGGTACTATATTAGTTGTAGTATAATCGAAACAAAAGGTGTCCAGTTGGCTTGGAAATGAACATCGATGACATTCTCCTTACAATTTTACATTTAAAATGAAAGCGATCTTCATGTCATAGCCATCGCTTACGCAGCGCCGTTTGTTTCATATTGTATAATGTAAGGGAGAGGGAGAGAGAGAGGGATTCAATTAATAGACAAAAAAGTCAAGGAGAATATAGCATGGTCGCTATGGTGCTCTGATAGTGAAAGACAGGTATATTCGATTAACTCCACTTTTTGCAAAATCTTAAATTTAAGTGCAAAACCACTTACTATACCGGGTGCGTTTCAAAAGTGACTCAACCCCTATAACTTTTTTATTTTTTCAGATAAAAAAACGAGATTTGGTGTGTTAGTATATGACACAAATTAGAATTGATTGACGTTTTTAATTGTTTTCGGTCACTTCCTGTTTCACCGGAAATTACTACAACTTTTGATTTTTAAATGGCACTCTGTGTATTTTTTACTTTATTCGATAGAAAATGACACTCTCATTCGAGTGACATATCATATGCTAACTTTTGACATATTCGCTCAAAAACAAATTGTATTTTAAAGTTCAATCTAGAGCGCCATGGCTGTGTTAAAAACACTAATTTTTAGTCAAGGAGCCTTGGAAAAATAGATTTGATTGTCTAATGTTTTTAGCCCTGGTCGGTTAAAAGATATCCAAATCGTTTTTTTAATCATAATTTAATTTTTTCAAATGGAACGAGGGTAACTCATTAGCATATTTGAAAAAACACTTTTTACGAATAAGTTGATACCACATACGAGTCAAATTGTCGTAATCTAGTCAAATTGTCGTAATGAACCGCATGTTACAATTCCAAATAAGCCATATATGCGAAAATGTTAAAAGTTGACATATGATAATATATCATTCTATTCAGAGTGTCATTTTCTATCGAATAAAATAAAAAGTTATAGGGGTGAGCCATTTTTGAGACGCACCCGGTATTGATAATTTTTTATATTTATAACATTTCTCCAAACGTCAGAGATTACAATTTGTCTAAGGTTCGGAAAAATATTATAAATATAAAAAATTATGAGTATACTGATTTTGTTTTACATTTAAAATTAAGACTTTTCAAATGTGGAGTTAATCGAATTGTGCCGTGAACGGTTAATAGAATGGGGTCAAGGTCAACGGTTAATAGAATGGGTTAACAGAATGGGACTAAGGACTGAACCTTGTAGTACACCATTTTTCAACAGAAACATACTAGAAAGATGGTCATCTAGCCTAACATTAAATGTCCTGTTTTTTTAAGTTTTTAAAGAATTTAAAGATGTTACCATGAATGTGCCTGCTGTGCAATCTTTGCGTAAGTGGTATCGAAAATCTGAATAAAATTGGCATTTTTCTTAATCGCGGCAACGCCGCAGTCCTGCTTTGCCCTGCCACCCCCACCCTGTTCGTCCTGCTGCTTCCCCCGTCGCGACGCGTCCTAGTCTCCTTCGGCTTACTAAAGGCCTCCTGAATGTCACGCAACTAGCGCCATTAGCCCGAAATGGACACCATTTACCGATTCAAAAAGGTAAGTCGCTATTTTATATTCCTAGGATCACTCCGCTTGATTAAATTCTACTAATTGCCTGCGGGTTTCGCCGATTGCACTGTTCAGTTCGATCGAGGTCTATTTTGCTTCAGTTTGGGTCTAGCTTTTAATCCTTAATTTTGTGATATAAACACGATATGTAATCGAATTGAAGGTAAGTTATTCGAGCAATTAATTATAGGGCTTTTGAATTATTCAATATGTGAAAATAAATAGACACATTCATTTTAATAGCTTTATTTTTCTCTAATAAATATGACAAATATATCAAAATATAATCACGAAATACTGATATTCCCATAAGATCTTATAAGAAAATTATTTTTGCATATAATTATGTATTACACTCACCCGCACGAAAAACGGGCACCTAAAAATTTTGATGTATTTTAAAGTTTAATATAAATATTTTGTTCTAGTGGGTCGATTTTTTCAATTTGTAGCTTAATTATTTGACTTTTTAGTATCTGTTTCTAAATTAAAAATGAAAGTTTTCATCTGTCAATTATACGAGGGAAAACAAACTGTGGAATATGTTAACAAAATAAGGATTTTAAAAATATTTTTTTCCTCTAGGTACGTCTTTTCTCAAGAGTTTTTTTTATTCGTCACAATGGCTTTGTTGTTATTGGAGATATTTGCTTTTGAATAAGACAGTGAAGATTTACAGCAATTTTAGCCCCCCCCCCCCATTGATTTTGAATCCTCGTCACCACACTTATAGAATAGTGTTTATTGTTCTTGCAATATCACTTTCATTGAAAAGTCATATTATTATTGTTTATTGACGTTTACTCTAGTAGAGATGATTTTTAAGTTCTGAAGTATCGGCTATTGCTGCTTTAATTTATCATGGCAGAGATCAACTTTTGGACTTAAAACCATATCTGCTAGAGTAACTCCCTAACAGACAATTTTAAAATATGATTATAGGTTTGTTGATTAGGACCAAAAGCAAGGGCATTGTTTTAATGTAAAAAATACGAAAAAATGTTAGTACCTTCTTCAAAACCGAATATCTCCAAAAAAATAAAGCTATTGAGATGAATAAAAAAACAAACTATTGAGGAAGGATATACCTAGGATCTAGATGATAAAGTGATTGTTGAATTTCTTGCTTTGTTAACGTACTTTACAGGGTGTTGCAAACTTTCACCAAAATATCAACATTTTGTGTTCGCTCGTATAATTGACACATGACACCTTTCATTTTTAATTTAGAAATAGATACTAAAAAGTCAAATAATTTATCTACAAATTGCTTAAAAAATCATCAAAATCGGCCCACTAGAACAAAATATATTAAACTTTAATATATTAGGTCTGTTCGTTTTCCTGTTATTATAGATTCTGAATCGTCCTAAAACTCTCTAGCGCATGCGCAAATGAAATAATGTCTTCATATTTCCTTCTGCGAATACGCATCACAATTCTAGGACGGTTCAGAATCGGTAATAACAGGAAAACGAAAAAAGCTATTAAAAATAATCATTTTCATCGTTCAAAATGTCAAAAGTTGACATACGATATGTCATTCTATTTAGAGTGTCATTTTCTATCGAATAAAGTAAAAAATACTGAGGGTGTCATTTAAAAATAAAAAGTTGTACTCATTTCCGGTGAAACAGGCAGTGGCAAAAAAAATGAATACGTCAATCAGTCCTAATTTATGTCATATACTAACAAATCAAATCTCGTTTATTATCTGAAAAAAATATAAAAGTTATAAGGGTGAGCCACTTTTGAGGCGCACCCTCACCTGATTTTGGTTTACCCTATATAAATTGTTAGTGTGCAAATAACCATTTTCTTTTTAATGTGCCGTGCAGATTTCTGCGTAAGCACTCATCTGTGCATTAATAGAAGCATTCTCATCAGATGCTTCTATTAATTTCAGCGACTTGGACTGCTTGGAAGTCCTGCATGCCTGTCCCAATGACGAATATTTCTCAGCCAGGATAGCTTTCTTCAGCCTATTCCCCTTTTACATCCTTCAATTTTACCCTGGAGAATTAGACGCTGAAAGCGTTCTCCACGTAGTATGTGTCCCAAATAGGTTATTTTCCTCTTCTTTATTTCGAAGAGTTCACGTTCTTCTACACTAGCGTCTGAGAATGTCTTCATCATCACACGACCGACCCAGGACACTCTTAGCATTCGTCAATAATTCTATTTATTGTTGCTACTTTCAGTGTCCATGCTTCCACACTATATAACAAAACGGGCCAGACATAGCACTTCACCATTCTGTATCTAAGGCCGAAGCTCAAGTTCCTATCTGTGAGATACCCTCGAAGTTTTAAAAAAGTTGATCTTGCTTGTAATAACTCATTCTTGCTTATTAATAACATAGGAACTCCAAATTGACAAATTTTATATCGAAAAACTACTTCTCTATTTAAAAAGGAGTTATACCGATATTTTCGTGTTTATACATTTACAGTCTACATTTATTAATTTAATTTACAGGATTTATACTATTTTGCATGCCTTTTTTGGAAGTATGATAACTATAATAGGCAAACAATTTGTTTCAGTAACTTCTATTTTTTTATTCCTTTCATTGCTTGCGTTTTAGTGCAGTAATTTAGGACACTATACATGCTTTGTTATTATCTGATGGGAATGCTAACAAATCGATTCTTTATTACCCTTAATTAGGTGGCGATTGCAGTTAAAACTACATTTACAAAAAGAGGGTTATAGTTGAGTTTAAATAGCTTCAAATTGATTTTTATACAGGGTGAGTTTTCTATAGGATGTTCTCTATGGGTATCTGGGAAGCTACTGGAGATAGAGAGTCGGTTAAATGGGAATAGAATTGCAGTTTTGTGTGGTTATAAATATGCGCCTTGTAGATTTTTGAAAAAGTTCATGGCGTCTATTTTTATCTACAGAATATGCTACAGAAGTTTCCCCGGAATACAGCTCGGACCACCCTGTATAATAATCTCAGTAGATTTAGAAGTTGGATTAGATCACACTTGATAAATTTAAATTTAATTTTAATAATTCAAAACGATTATTAATCTTTGGATTTTTTATAGAGAATGGTGTATCCAGAAAAAATAAATTTTGACCAAGGTAGTGATAGACCGATTGCTCGCCCGGCTTGGTGTAATGATTCACCGGATAAATCTTGTAACAATTCTCCGGAAAGACCCAAGTTTACTGGAAAGGAGAAAAGCAACAATGGCTGTGATAGAAAACTGGATTCTTCGTCCTCGGAAAAGTTTGTATTTATAAAACGAAACTTTATTTTAATCGTCATAAAATTATTATTAATACAATGCATTGTAGCTCTGAAGAGAACCACCAATTCATTCAAGATCGTATTAGACATTTGGTAGATGCGTTTTCTACCAGAGCTCAAGCCGCTAGGCAAAGATTAGAAGGACCACAAACACCATCATCGTTAAGGTATTTATAAAATAGAAAACAAGCTGTATTTATAAATTGATAAAAATACTTGAAACTTTTTCATTATTTTACTGCATTCGCCAAAAAATATGTTACATATTTTTAGAGATGCAGTGGGTTTTTATTTTTTATACTGAAATACACTTATGCTATCTTTTAAATAAGTAAAAACTACAAATTACCATTCAATAATACGTTGTGATGAGCAAATACAATACCAAGACCCCCTTGATTTTGCGGTATAATAAGTTCCACAGATATTTGAGAAAAAACGAAAATACAAGATTTTGATTGTATTTTTTTCTGACATTATATGACAAGATATCTCAAAACCTAAAGCCCATGTTCATGGCTACTTTTTTTCAGCTACATAACAGGGTTTTCAGAATTTTCATTCGACGTTTCGTATTTTGACAGCCATCATCAACTATATGTTTTCTTATAGGCTTTATATTAGATTATTAAAAATTTAAATAGGTAAATTCACTGTGATTCTAATTATGTATAACAAGTTCGGCATAGTTGCTTTTAAACGTCAATAATTTGTAAAAATCGTTTTATCAATAGCCGGCTTTGGATGTTTGAAAGAAGAATGTTGTTGACATGGATGTTCAAGTTCGTTTCAGCTTAAATGTGTGAGCTTCAGCTTAATGTGTTTCTTAACTGAACATTTTTTTACCACCCAATTTGAAGGATACCTTGATGATTTACCTCTGTCACATTTTAACAGCTACTGTTTGCTGCACAGGGCTCCTCCACATGACACTGAACCAGTTACTGCCTACTTAAACAAAAAATTGCAACATACAGTATGTCTCCAAATTGTCTTTACAAGCGGAAAAACTTTTTTACTATTCACATTTTGAGAAAAATGCATTCTTCGTAAAAAAATGTTACTTGGTCTAAAATGGCTAATATCGTTTATATCTACTTATCCAAAATTGCATTGCGTTTAAGAGAAAATTATTCCTAAAAATCAAAGGCTTTTCTGTGGTAATATGATTTCGATTTCATTGTTTGATAGATGGTTATTATTAATTTTGATTAAAGTCATATTTTTTTGCTATTGTTAAACTTTCAGATTTTTCGATAAATATTATCACCCTTTCCGTAGCTTGAATTAAATAAATTTTGTGCTTCTTTGACATTTTAAAACAGGAAAAGTTATGAAGTTAATTAAAATCCTATCAATAACAATCCACCAAGAAATGAAAAAGAAATTAAATTACCATAGAAGTGCGTTTTGATTTTTAGAAAAAAATTCAACTAAACTTTCATGGTTTTTAGGACTTCCTAAAAAATTCCACCATATTTTCATGTTTTTCTTAATTTTCCCTAAAACGGTATGGAAATTTGGAATAGTATAAACGGGATTAACCATTTTAGAACAGGCACATTTTTTTCATAAAGAATGCATTTTTCTCAAAATGGCAATAATAAAAAAGTTTTAGCTCTTGTAAATCCGGGGACATATTATACTGTATATGGATGGGAAATACAGAACCTGTCAAATGACTTGCGCAGTTTCCTGATAAATTAAGGAATTATTTAGTCAGAAAATTATTAGTCAGAAAAAATAAAATCGTATTCTTTTCTCCAATATCACCGTAAATGATTCTAAACGGCATATTATTAGGCACATTAATGCACATCTTTGCCTATATTTAACTATCCTCGTGTTTCCTATAGTTTTCGAGATCCCAATGGTGGGAATCAAATTTGAATTACCCTGTATAATTAATTTTTAAGTGATTTTCGTTTACAGCTCTTCCGCAGGAGCGGAAGGAACTCACAGTGCAATAAGTTCGGCTCCTCGACTTAGCGTTTCACTTTCCGATAAATATGTCGAAGAAGAACCAGAAATAAGAGTGGAACCGAGAAGTTATAGAGAAAAGTTTTTAAATCATGTAAAAATAATTGACCCAAACGGAAAAATTTTTGTTAGCTGGATGGCTTTGGTTACGTTAGCAGTTTTGTATAATGCTTGGGTAAGTCCTAGTCCCGTTAGAAAATATTATATTTCTTCGAACAATATGTACGATGAAAAGTTCTGTGATCAAGCAAGCTATGACTAAGTCTTCCTGATCATTGCTATAACATTTTGATTAGAGTGGACTACCATAGTGTAATAATTTTTACAAACTGACTGAATTACCGGTGGACATTGGTTGAAAATGCCGAGAAAAATATTTCTCCGTTCCAGGTAGCTGAAAAATGGCATGCATATGTAAAATTAATAGCAGGTTAGGCGTGACTGACTAAGTTAAGAAAAAACTCAAAATTTAAGTGAGGAGGCAGTCAATAATCACCACACAGGCTAATAAAACTACTTTTTCAAATTTGTCAAGCTTTCGAGAATTTTATTCCCATCATCAGGACAGTTTGACTGAGTCAATTAACAAAAAAACATCCTCTGCACAAAAAGGCCTTAAAACTAGCATCATATGACATTGGAATACAAGGACATTTCCTTTATAAAATATTAAGATACATATCCAACGACATTACTTTTCTTTAAACAAAAAACAAAAAAAAAATTTTTGTTTTTTGTTTAAAGAAAAGTAATGTCTTTGGATATGTATTTGAATATTATAAAATAGAGACATCGAATACAAGGATATTTCCTTTATAAAATATTCAAATACCCATGTTCTTCATTCTACATTCTACAATGTCGTTGGATATGTATTTTAATATTTTATAAAGGAAATGTCCTTGTATTCCAATGTCATATGATGCTAGCACAGATTATACAGATTATAATCTTTGTTTTTTCTTTATTGTTTTTTGTGGTTCCAATTTTCGGAATCGGGCACTAGTTAGGTGACTAGTTTGCGCACATAGCACGCCCACTTATGGCCTCTAAAATTGTGCACAGCGCCTGACCGGCACAGTTATTAGAGAGATATCGGAAAATCGAATAGCGTCATCCAGTATTTACGCGTACCTTATCATGGTTACGACATGCGCGAGTCAATTTTTAACGCAACACCCGCTAATAACGTTACCGCCTGACGTAATTTGCGGATCAATTACACCAAGCGCTCTTTCTAAATAACCTCTGATAACGTTTAAAAATTGCTTAAATGGGCATGTGCGGGTATTTGACAACCGGAGCCGGCCGGCGAGATCTTTTATATTAGGTTATGTTTGAATTGTTTTGAATTATTGCTTTAGTTTTATTAGGTAATTTGATATTGAAGTAGCTGGGATTAGTTTTAATTAAATAAATATGGCCCAAAATATGGATTCCACCTCTTCTAATACTAAAGAACCTATAAAGAGTCTTAGGTTTACAGCAGATGACGACTTAGCCCTTCTAAGAGAATTTGTTGCTTGTTGCCCTAAACCCACTGGCAGACGTTGAACAATAAAGCAATGGAAATAAGCACTTTAGCCCTTTAGTTTTAAAATACCTAGTAAACAAAACAATTTCAAAGTTTTAAATTCAAAGTTAGGTTAAGTTTAAATAGCGGACGCGACGCGATCAGCATTTTTTCCGATCCGATAACTATAAATGAAGAGAGTTAATACCACCTCACGTAAAGGAAATAACACATGGCCTTATTAACGTCCATGCACGCTATTCGGTTTAGCAATATCTCTCTATTACGCTGTTTATTGTTATTTTACGCGAGTTTATTTTTGCGCACAGGAAATTTGACTCGTTTGCACATCGTCATAAAAAATAATTTTCGTATCACGAATTAGGGACGAGATTTTTATCTGTATACTTATAGGATACCTAATCTGTGATGCTAGTTTTAAGGCCTTTTTGTGTTTGTGCAGAGGATGTTTTTTTGCTAATTGACTCAGTCAAACTGTCCTGATGATGGGAATAAAATTCTCGAATGCTTGACAAATTTGAAAAAGTAGTTTTATTAGCCTGTGTGGTGATTATTGACTGCATCCTCACTTAAATTTTGAGTTTTTTTGTAAAATTAATAACGGAGTAACTTTTTGAAACGATATTTTTTAAAATTCGCTAAATAAACCTTATTTTACCCATTTCTTTCTTTAAATGTGCCTTTTAATTATTTTAGTATTTTAATTACCTTACTTTTATGTAACAGGTTTACGCCAAATTTCACCTTACTCAATACAACACACATGAAATATGATGTTGTCTTTGCATGCGATACTATGGGTAATTTATCATCATCATTATCATCATCATCATTCTCAGCTTATTCAACCATTTCCAATTACGGTGTAGCCTCCCGCACATATTTACATACTTTCTCTGTAGTTGGACCCTTTGTTGTCTATTGTTGGCGATGCGGGCCCAAGTTATCCCTGCTAATTTCCTAATACCATGGCCCCATCTCAGGTTTGGCCTTCCTCTAGGTCTCTTTATTCCTCGTGGGCATCACCTGTAGTTTTTGTGGTCCATCTGTTGTCCGTTCTTATTGCCAGGTGTCCTGCCCATTGCCACTCGAGGGATTTGATTCTGTGGATGACATCTATTATCTGAGTCTTTTCTCGTATCCATTCTATTTTTTACGGTCTTTGTTGGTTACTCCCAGCATATTTGGTTCCATTGAGCATTGTGCGACCTGCAGTTTTTTTATAATGTCCGTTTTAAGTGTCCAGGTTTTGCATGCATAGATCATGACTGGTAGTACACATTGGTCGATTTTTTTTAATTTATTTTCTTCTTTAGATAAAGTGGCATTCTAGATTTGAATATGATTGAGTTTCTTCCATAAGTAGTCCATGCTAATTTAATTCTTCTGTTGATTTCTGGTAGTAGGGATCCCGAGCTGTGTATTAGTTGTCCCAAATATAGGTATATATATTCTTCTACTATTTCCCGTTTTGTGTTGTTTATATAACATATGTGGGTAATTTATGTACGGGGTATTTCAAAAAAGATATTGCTAAAAATTACATCTTGTATGGTTAATTACATCTTGTATGGTTAATTACATCTTGATGTATTAGTAGATTTTTTGAAAGGAGTGTCTGTTTCATGTTATAGTAATGAAATAAATGATGACGAGTACATGGATCTCGACATTACTCATTTTATTTTTTAATAAGAAAAAATCGTAATAAAGTAGAAAATTTGTATCTTCCAAATATATTCTTTTATATTATTCCTTCTTTTTTCAGGTTATACCGCTAAGATCAACTTTTCCGTTTCAAACAAAAGAAAATCGAAGATACTGGATGTTATTTGATTACACCGCAGATTTAATCTACCTTATGGATGTAATATTAGTTCAACCTAGAGTTAAATATTTGAACGAAGGCTTCTGGGTGACAGAAAAGAAAGCACTTAGACAAAATTACATAAACAATAAACATTTTAAGGTAAAATCTGTAGTATGCCGTATACCTTTTTAATAACATATTGTTTTATTTTTATTTTTAGCTGGATCTTGTATCTCTACTGCCTTTAGATATATTTTATATAGTGACAGGCCCGGATGTAGTGCTATTACGATTTCCTAGGCTTTTGAAATTCTATGCTTTTTGGGAATTCTTTGGTCTTATCGACCGGCAAATATCTAATCCGTATATTATAAGAATAACACAAACTTTAGTATATATGATGTATTTAATACATTTGAATGCCTGTGGTTATTATGCCTTTTCTCTATACGAAGGTGAGTTATCTGTAGGTGCAAAATTTTATTGTTGAAAAAGAAAATACACAAAAGTATAACAAAAAAAATATTATTTACAAACTAGTAATATCGAGACTAACAAAATGTGTACCATATTAGTTATAATTATCGTATTTCCAAAGTGAGTTAGACTGGTTTCGGATTCTTAAATCGTATTCGCCGTCAAAAGAAGTGCCGAAATTGAGAGCCTCAAACCAGTCCAATTGACATTGGAAATATTATACTATTTTTTATTAAAATATATACTTGTTTAGGTATCGGTAGCAATAATTTTGTTTATAATGGACAAGGAAACGCCTACATCAAATGTTTCTATTTTGCAACAAAAACGGCCACGTCCATTGGTAAAAATCCGAAACCTACCCAGGAAGTAGAATATATTTTTATGACGTTTTCTTGGTTGATGGGTAAGTGCCTTTTGAAAAAAAAACGAATTCAAGTTACCACTGAAATCGATACGTATAAAAATATCACGTAAATTGATATCTCAGAGTTCATTTTGCAAATTATAAATAATTAGTTTAGAAACTTCAAAAGTAATGGTGGTTTCTTCCGATCTTAACCCTAACTTGTAACATTACTATAGGTAGTCCTAATCCCACGTATTCAAATTCGCTCGGAAAACTGCTAGAGAGCTGACTATAAAGCTTCAATACTCAGACACTATAATTTTTCACAGGCTGTTGAAAAAAACATTTAATGATCTTCTTTTTATTCAGAATCAGAACAAATATTTTTGTTTTCGTTATTTTCAGCCATTCTCTTATGTTATGCACAGCCTGAACAGGATGATATTCCAGATTGTTTATTTGTTGCAAACTATTGGTGTTTTGTAAATCCGTTGTTTAAACCCGTTTTCTTTTCATAGGCGTCTTCGTTTTCGCTTTACTCATTGGTCAAATTAGGGACATAATATCAACGGCCACTCGATCCAAAACCGAATACAGAAAACTAGTTGATGAAACACTAGAGTATATGAGAAGGCTGAACTTGCCACAAGAGATGCAACGGAGAGTTCAACTTTGGTTTAACTATACTTGGGAAACGCAGCATACTTTGGGTATACAATATTTTCATGTAATTTTTATCTTTATAATAGTTGTTTCTGTTGTAGATGAAAATAACATAATGGATTGTTTACCGCACAAAATGAAAACCGATATAGCAATTAACGTTCATATCAATACTTTAAATAAAGTCAAACTTTTTGCCGACTGTGATGAGGCTCTATTGAGAGAGCTGGTACTAGAATTGAAAAGTGTGATTTATTTACCAGAAGATATAATATGCAAGAAGGTATGGTTTTCAGTATATTTAAATATATATCAGGTAGAATATCATATTTACTGATGAGAACAGCTAATGTCCTATTGTTGTTTATTATTGTCAGGGATTGAGATTGTTAAACTACAAGTTCATACCAAATAAACTTTTAGTCACGTGATTAAGCTTGGCCGGCACAGCGTTGCCTACTTTTATATATTTTCTTTTAATCAAAGTATTTTAGAAAATAAAAATAAATTGATTCTAAATATATAAACAGTTATTATTTACATCAACAAAACACACCTTCTTAACTAAACTTAACTAAACACACCTAACTTAACACCTCTTAACTACACTTAACATAAAGAACCATAGTACTCCTTTGCTAAGCTATCTTGTACATTTCGCACCAAAAGAGGTTCTAAAAAGAACAATGTTCGACTGCAAGATCTGCTAGTAAATATTCTTACGCTTAAAGTATCACAACACTATTTATTTAAATCAAAAACTCGTTATACAACACTAAAGTGTCAAAACGAATGACAATGTCAAGAAATAAATAAATAAATGCGGCAACTTGACACTTTTTACAGCTGAATCTGAACTACCACCTGAATCTCCAGCGCGAAATTTAGATTCCAGTTAGTCAGCCGGCGCCGAATATCTCCATGGTTGGCAACAATGAATTTAAAAATCGCGCCCGCGATTACGTAGTTAAAAATTTAATTGCTATGAAATATATATTTGGATTTCAGTCGTAGTTTGTATTTTTCGAAATATAATTTAATGTATTTTCCAAAAAAAAACATATTTTTAAACTGATTTGAAATACAAACCTTAAGAAACCTTGTATTGGAGATCAATGTATCTTAACAATTGAAATTGATTGGCTAAAAGTGGTCCGTGGAACAATTTTTTTATCGCCCGGTATAGTTAAACAAGTATTAATTTTTGAATTAATTTTCAGGGTGATGTTGGTACTGAAATGTACATTGTCCAATCTGGAAAGGTTCAAGTTATCGGAGGAAAAGAGGGTAAAGAAGTTTTAGCAACATTATCTGAAGGCAGCGTTTTCGGTGAAATTAGTCTTTTGGGCATTCCAGGAATGAATCGAAGGACCGCCGATGTCAGGTGCACATTTAATTTATTCTTTGCAAACAAACGAAACTGTCATATTTCTCTAGATCCTATGGTTATTCTAATCTTTTCGTTTTGGATAAAGCATCACTGAATGCCGCTTTGTCCCACTATCCAGAAGCTCAAGAACTGCTCAATAAGAAAGCAAAACTGCTCATGAAGAAGAACGAGGCACTGGAACAAAAGAATAAAGCTATGATTATTATTAAAAACCCCACTTCTCCTGAGAGGCATGCTAAACTTTTGGAAACCGTACTTCAGGTAAATATTTTAATTTTACATAAAATAAAACAACAAAAGAAAAATACTCAGCTACAAAATTCAAATAAAAATTTGAATTTGAATATTTTTTTAATACTCTTTTAAGATGTTAATACTAAATTGTATTCAAGTAGTAGTTTGGTTAAACCTATTTTAATATGTCTTTTCATCCTGAATTTCTATTCTTTTTTAGTTTTATTTCCTATTCTATGACTTACTCTTTAAGCGATAACCACATACTTTTCTATTAAAAGGTTCATATTTATGTTTTTAAATACAATAATGAATATTCTTCTCCTTCTAGTACCATGCTGTGTGCAGTTATATTTTTTAAACGGCTTTTAACTTTTTTATAGAACATTCATTAAAAACAAATTGTTGGCTTTACTTCTTACAGGGCCATACTCTATACCGGGTGTTTAACGAAAGTGGCTCAAGTGGCTTACCTCTAATAGTTTTTAACTTTTTTATTTTTTTTTACAAAATAAAAAAATTATAGAGATGAGCCACTTTTGGGAAACAGCCGCTATAGAGTGTATTTTTTTATTGTTCATCACGCCGCAAAAATTAAAACTTTTGTGACGTTTTAAAAAACAAACTGTTTTTTTCAATAGGACATAAATTAAAAAGATAGGGCATATGCACGGTCAGATCTCGATAAAAGAAACATATTTTCTCTTTACCGTTTTTCAAATAAGTGCAAAATAACAGAGATACCCATTTTACTTTGAAAATTTCCCAAAAAATGATTTTTCTCTTCCATTTTGAGAACCACTGGATCATTTCTGGGTTTTCTTTCTTGTAAATTTAATTTACTGCCTATGTTTCCATATTATGAAAATATTTTTTTTAACTAAAAATAAAAGAAATCCAAAATTTTTTCAAAAATTCCAAATTTTCAAAATCTTTGTTTCGCGAAAAAAACTCATAGGCGTGTTTTTGGGGTTAAAATATACTACCCCTAAAAATATTTGCACTTATTTAAGACACTCTGTATACGAATAAATTTTCTATCTATATACTCCTAATATACAGTGCTTGATACAGTGTCTTCTATGCAAAATATTATTGTTTTTACCTGTTAAATGCTATAATTAGTTTTCTAAGTGAATGTTCTGTCTTCAACGATAAAAATTATGTTATCTTCAAAAGACTTCTGGGTTTCTGGCCACACGAAAAAAATCTACACAAAAAAGGATTATTTTTGTTTGTATATATATTGTATACACCACTAACAAATTTTGTAGCTTTTAGTCCAATTGGATTGTAATTAATATGATTCCAGATTCTAGATGAAATACTTTTGCTTGATCAGTCTGCTTTTTTACTTCCGTTATATTTATGAATATGACAATATATTTTTACAGTAACTCATAGGTACAATTATCTTAATATGCCATTTCTTAGGTATTACCACCTGATTCCAAGACCAATCGACTTCTACGATATGGAAGTAGGCAGGCACGCAAGCCGAGACCCGAGAATGACAAGTTCAAATACAGAAACAGTTTGCCTGCGATCAGAAATCACGAGGCCTTAGACCGATTGAGGCAAGAGAGCGCACACAGAGAAACTAGCAGCAACAAGAGTGATAATTCGCAGGACTCAGACCAAGAAAAAGTCACGATCCATAGATCACTCAGTTAGTGCAGTAACGAAATTAATGTGTCCTTTTGTGGTCTTCTGTTCACGCTTAAATTGAACTATACAAAATTGTGCTTCTTTCCTAATACAATACTGACAGAATGTTTTGCCCCAAATAATACGTTTTATATTTTTATTATTTTAGACGTCGACGATAAAAAGACCAAGTTGTACGAATTGCATGCTAAACCTAGTTATAAGGAAATGAAATATGATATAGTTTTCGAGGATGACATTTAAGCCATAATGGAAGGGTAATATTGTAACTTATTCGTTTTGTGTCTTTCCTTTATACAAAGAGAAATAATATTTGTAATAAACCATTATTTTATTGAAACATTTATTATATTTTTAAAAAATACTATTAAATAAATATTTTGATGATTTTTTTATTTGTTTATTTAAAGTCGGAAAAATTCTAGTACATGTATTGAATTAAGTTTACTATTAACGATTTCATGGTACGAAGCACGAAATAATTTTTATTTTAAAGAATACTAACTTAAAATATAATATTAAATTGTAACATTAAAATAATTAAATATTGTTTATTATATACAATATGATCGAAAAAAATACGGCGTCAGCGACGGCTATGAAATGAAGATCGCTGTGGAAAGCCAACTGACTCCGTTTTTTCGATCATACGGTATATATTTCGATATCAACCAAATATCAAACCAAACACAATATTTATTACTTTTTATTTACTTTTGTCAAAATGGTGAGAATTTAAAAATATAAAATTATTAAAATGTTGCTTGCTATTATAAAAGAAGTATAGAGAAACAAACGTAGAGACAATAGCGAAGCAAATATAACAAACAAGCAAACGATAGTGAAAAGAAATCAGTTTATGTATCGTACATCAAGCATAAGGATGTTCCTCCATAGACTTGTGATTTGCTATATGGATGGTTATTCTTTTTATAGTAATAAATTTAAAAAAATAAAAAGTTCACAAATATAAAGGGTGTTTCAAAAAACCTATGCCATCTCTCGTGTGGAGATTCCTCACGTAAAAATAAGATTATTTTTTTATATTTTTTATATCAACATAGGTCCGATTTCGCTTTGTTTCGTAGCTTAGAAAGAAAAAATATTAAGACTTTAACAATATATTATTATAAAATTAATATTTTTTCAATTTATTATAATTTTCTTCCAAGTACTTTTTACTGCGTTTCGAATCAAATTTTTAAGGTAAAAGTGGCTATAAATGCGACATATTTTAAAGCCAAAAAGTGTCGACATATTCACCAGGGACGTGCATATGGGTTATCTGGAATATTTAAAAAAAAAGCATGTACGCCACTGACTTTTTTTTCTCTTGTAAACGAAATAGTGTAAGCAGTTTAATACCGATTAAAAGTTTTCTCTTGATATTTTGTCGGTTTCGGCCTCCTTGATGAGATAAACGCAATTTTATTAATTTGCCTTGATCCAAGACTATATAATAGCAACCTTTAAAAAAATTAATATCATGTCGAATATCATTAATTTGCAAAAGTTTTAAACAAGTACTCATTGATTCCTTATAAAAAATATGAAAAAAAGTTCCTATATATAAATATGAGTATGGAAATGCATAGTTTTATTAGTTACAAGATGTTACAAGACGTAATTATTTTAAATACGATTTTTTTATTTGAAATTGAGGTTGGACTAATAGTAATAATAACTAATAGTAATAATAACTAATAGTAATAATATTTAATAATGAATTAGGTAAAATATATAATTTATTGATTTTATTTTTATTTTAATTTTATTAATTGTGATTAATAAATTTGTGTTTATTTCACCAAGGAGGCCGAATTCAACAAAATATCAAGAGATAACTTTTAATTGGCATTAAACTGCCTACACAATTTTGATATCAAAAGAGAAAAGTTAGTGGCGCACGTTTATTTTAAATATTCCAGTGATAACCCATATGCACGTCCCTGGTGAGTTTATCGACATTTTTTTAGCATTAAAATATGTTGCACTTATAGTAACTTTTACCCTCAAAATTTCATTCGAATCGCTAAAAGTACTTGGAAGAAAATTATAACAAATCAAAAAATTATTAATATTTTAACACCTGTAGCTACGAAACAAAGCAGAACCGGACCTATGTTGATATGAGAGATAAATCTTATTTTTACCTGAGAAATCTCCCCACGAGAGATGGCACATGTTTTTTTGAAACACACAATTTCAGTCAAATAATTATCTAGTCAACATATTTATTTTTTGTCAATAATGACATGTATTACATTCCAAATATCTTGAGAACCGTTAGTCGTAACGACTTTTACCTAGAGGCCTTTTTACGTAAAAAACGGCGAAATGTACATTTTTTCAAGCAGAAGGTTTATACAGGTAGGGACGAAAAGTTATTACTCTCAAATCAGTTCAAAATGTAGGTGGCACCCCCTACAAATTGGAGAATACCCAGACACAAATTTTCCAATTAGAAATTGGAAAACATTTAACATTAGAAATTATTTGGAAAAAACTGAACTAAAAATGAAACTTTTACTTCCTGTATCACCGAAACAAAGCATTTTAGGACATAAATTTTTAAGAACCTTTTTATTTATTTTATCGCTAGAGTATACTGCCAAAGTTTCCCGAATACAATTTGGATCACCTTGTATATTATTTCTAACTAAGGGTGAAAATAATCAACTATGTAAACTAAATATAACCTAACCGTTTACAAATTGTTAGAAATATTGCCAAGGTTAACTTTGGGCATCAACGAGGTAATAAACAAAGCCATAACATCAATTCCCTTCTACAAATACGTTATAAATTACGACTAAACCGTATTGCATGATCCGCAGTTAAATGCGGCTTAGCAATTATGGATTGAAACACGCGATTCCCCTTTTATATCTATTAACTTTATGTTTGGTTTGGTTGTTTCTATAAGATCGATCATTTGACATTAGTATTACCTTAGAAAATACGAACGTTGGATTCATTTGCTCGATTTTTTAGTCATAACTTTGCAGAGTATGAGGCACGTTTTATAAATATTATTAAAATGTTGGTATAAATACCTCTAAAACTTTTCAGTGGCTTTTGGTTAATCGGAGAACTCAGGAATATGCTGTCTCACTTCAACAGGTATGTAATATCTTTTTTATTAATTATTTAATATTTACTGCTAACCATCAATATTCATTTCAAATAATACACTCAGATGAAAAAAAACGCAACTGAGAAAAATTCAAATTAAGTCAAGTCAAATTTAAAGTGTTTTATTTTTGTTATTTTTAGCCCTATTTTTATGATTTTTTTAGCAAACTGTATATAATTATTTCAATTTTAATTCGTAAACAATTTTTTTTATAAACTTCAGTATTTGGCATATTATACAGGGTTATTCGAGAGGTCGTTTTTTTACCTTAATTTTAAAACACCCTATGCAATAATTTCGTGTGTAAATTTTCTTAAATATACTTTTACTGTCAGAACCATGACTCCTGAGCATTTTGTTTTATGATTAATGTCAATACATCCTTTGGGTAATTTTTGAGAGCGATTTTTTTAATGAACTGATCACGCTCAATTTGCAATTTTTTCAATTATCACTACTTTTTGATTTAATTTTTTAATATGGCGAGATGATTTTGGTGATTATTGTCGTAATGTCATATTACGCTGCATTGGATACTTTATACTAAATATAAAAAAAAAGTTAAAGACTAACGATACAGTCCTGGTTTTAATAAACATTAATAACGATAACAGAACTAACGATATTAAAGAAAGCATCTGTAATACTTTAGTATACAAACAGAAAAAAATTTGTAAAAAATATCCTAATACATTGCAATGCTTCCCTTGGCTGTTATAACTGCCTTTATACGTCCGTCCACACTGTCATTGAGGCTGCATATATCATATTGCGTTATGCTTTCCCGTTCTTCTTTAAGAACCAAGCGAAGTTCATTTAATGAAGCTGGTATCGCTTCGCGACCTCTAACCCTTCTGCCAAGCATGTCTTAAACGTCGAACATGATGGGCAGTTCATAGTAGTTTATAGTTCACAATAATCACCAAAGCCGGCTTGCCATATTGAAAAATAACTTGATAAAAATGATAACTGAAAAAATTGCAAATTATTGGTGTCAAGTTCATTTCGCTCTTCAAAATTAACCAAGGCATATATATTGACATAATCCAAAAAACAAAATGCTCAGGAGACATGGTTCTTACCGTAAAATTATATTTTAATAAAATTTACACACGAAATTATTGCAAAACAACTCCTGGATTAACCCTGTATAATATGCCAAATACTAAAGTTTATAAAAAATTGAGTTTACAAATTAAAGTTGATATACTCGTAATTATGTACAGGTTGATAAAAAATTCATGAAAATAGGGCTAAAAATAACAAAAATATAACACTTTAAATTTGACCAAAAATTTCTCCGTTACGTTTGTATATCAACTCAATAAAAATTGTAATCATTGGAAGTTGTAGTAATAACAAATAATTACTCTCGTATAAAACACCTTTCAATTGTGATTCTTATTAGAGAGATATAACTTATATTAACTTTGTTCTTAGATTAGTTTAATAAGCATAATTTTTATTTTATTTAATATTATAATAATTTGTTTGAATGTGGTAGGAAATGATTTTTCAGGGTTTTGAATTAAAAATGAGAGTTTTGAATTAAAATATACTCTTCGACTATTTCTGTCTATAATTATAAAAATTTACACCGCCTTTCAGTGAGATGTATCACTGACCATCGATTACACTTGATAACCACCAGTAATAATTTTGATCGTAAGGTTCTGTAAATTTTCAAAATTAATGTCAGTACAAGAAGATATTTTATTACACATTATAACACATTATAATATTATTATCGAGCATGTTTAAGTTAGGAACTACAGAAATAAAATCTGGAAGTGTAATAAGATATGAATCTGCGATAAAACTAAAATAAATAATAATTTATGATAAGTTTATACGCCAAAAGAAATATTTAACAAAATATAAAAAATAAGAAAACTTTTATCCTTTAAAGCTACAACCATTAAATAGAAACTTTAAAACAAAGATAAATAAGAAATGTTCAACAAAGTCTAATATGGAATAGTAGACTAGAAATTGATAAAGATTTAATTATTAATATACAAGGATATTTACGTCATTCCATGAGATAAAATTAATTAGATCCCTAAAAATATGAGTTTGGGTTAGTTAAATAGAAACTAAAGACGCGCGCTTTGGTTTCTTTTGTCTGATTTTTATTCATAACTTTGCAAAGTGTGAGACACGTTTTGTCTTATTATGATATAACGCTTTATTGTTTTTAATTAACTGTGAATTAATAAATATAGAATATCATATAAACAGACGTGTAACATATTTTACATTAGTCATTTAATTTTATTCCTAACCAATATTAATGTTGATAAAATATATCAATTTAAAAGTATAAAATAAAATATGATTATAATAATTAATTTAAAAAATAATTAAAAGTAAATCTTAAAATATAATCAAAATTTTAATGTTAAGTAATTATAACTATTTCTATTTTCGTATTTTTTTAAATTTCTTTTATATCTCTTTTTACATTTTTAAATTTTATTATTATTTTAAGAATTATTATTACTTTACTTTATATATTAATTTCACACACTGTAAATAATAAAACAATAATATTTATAATTTTTAGTTATATTAAATTAATATTAGAGTATTTAATTCACGGGAATATAATTATAGATATATGTTGATTGTAACATAGATGTGAAAATCAAAAACTGTCTCAGTCTGGCACTTTCCCCATACACGTACACCGTACCATAGAAAAAGCGGAAAAAACAATGTTCATCCTTTCCAGACTTATGCCAAATATAGCCGAATGAATTCCGAATCTAAAAGGAAAACACTGGCATGTGTAATGCAATCCCAGACACTCTATACTGCACCAGTGTGGAATAACGCAACGAATAATAAGGTACTTACCAGGAAACTCACTAGAGTTCAGAGGCTAATGTCCATTAGAGTAACTAGGACCTACAGGACAATCTCAGCTGAGGCATTCGGAGTGATAGCTGCAATACCACCCATAGACCTCCTTATCAATGAAAGAGCCAAAATATACAACGGACAGAACAGAGCCACGGCGCAAAATTCCCTAAGGGCCAATTGGCAGGAGCGCTGCAGGTCTAGTACAACAGGCCGATGGACACATAGGATCATCACAAACATTAGCAACTGGCAGAATAGGCGCTACGGCGAGGTCGACTACTAATCTCACTTAGGCCCTCTCAGGGCACGGCTGCTTCAATGCATTTCTATATAAAAGGAAAAGATCAAATACGGAGATTTGTAGATACTGTGAAGCAATAGATGATGCTGAAGACACGATTTTTGTCTGTCCTAAATGGCAAGACACGACGCAAGAGAGATATATGAGAAGGAACTGGGGAGGCGGTTTACTCTGGAGAACTTTGTCTTGGACATAATGGAGAAGAAAAAGAATGAAACATGACCTATAATGTTATACGGACGATCATTAGGACCAAGGAATAGGAAGTTGAAACATCTGGACAAGTAGAATAGTAAGCCAGCTACCACGTTGAAGTAATGCGAGAGCAGTTCCAGCGTGGAGCATGGATTGGCAAAAGGGGGTTTTTAGTCGGTAAAACTCGAATTGCCCACGACCATCCAACATCGGGTGTCTTTTGCGGATTTATCCCCTCCATAAAAAATATATGTGAACATAAATAATAAACGTAACAAAAACTAAATAAAACACTAATTATAATTAAGAATTTAAATTTAAAAATACAATATGAGATAAAATATACCATTAAATACAAACTTCAAAACAAAGATAAATAAAAAATATTTAACAAAGTTATATATATTTTTTCTTTTAAAATAGGTATAATATGGATAAAACTGAACATTGAATTAGTAACATACAGGATTATATATGTCATTCGATGAAGATTATCTATTATATTATAACTGGTATTATACTCACTAACTTGTCTATCTAAAGTTTAAAACTAGAGTAATTAGGTACTAACGGTAGCTTGAAATGTCAATAACGTGTTAATTTAAATCGAACACCCTTTATAGTTTGCCAATATACGATGAAAAAATTAATTTTCTATCAATATCGATATCATCTGATATTAGATTTATCTAACGAAGAAACATTGTTTTTTTTTGTCATAACTTTGCAGGGTAGGATACACGTTTTATTAAAATTTACGACTTATTAAAATTTATATGTAAACTCTTTAGTGTTATTAGTTAATTGGTAAAATATAACAAATATAGTATATCACTTCAACAGGTATATAATATCGTTTTATCATTAAGTGTTTGGAGGAAATATATTTAATTGCAGACATATGTATATGGAGATTGTAATATAAATAATAATGTTTGTAAAAAATAATTCATTTCTAATCAATTTGCCAGCCCCCCCCCCAATTTGCGATAATATTCCTCTGTATATAATGACCATTTTTGCACGAAAACTTGAGTTTCATTCATTTGCGCCGCATGATGTCAACAAGCTGCCTATTTAAGCGCGTAGACCGAAAATATTTGCGAGAATATAACGTACTGCCTTGCCGTGCTATGATTATATTATAGTCAAGATTTATTAATTTAGAGTGTTTATAAAAGTGGCCCTTGTTGATGTGAGTAACAGTGAGATTATTGTGATATCCCCATAGATACGTGTCATAAAGTTACTTAAATTTGATGCATTTTTAGCGCAATATGTAGTGTCTGTTGTTATACAAAGCGAATCTTAGATAAGTACAAATATTTTCCGGACGGGCAAATCTCGATAAAAGAAACATATTTTCTCTTTACCCTTTTTCAAATAAAACCAAAATAACCGAGTTATTTTACTTGGAAAATTTATACAATATATTTAAATTTTGAGAACCTTTAGATTTTTTCTGTTTTTGTTCCCCTACATTTTTAATCTACTACCTATGTTGATATCTTATCAAAATATTATGTTTTTTTGTAACTGAAAATTAAATAAAAATCTAATTTTTTTCGAAAATTACATTTTCAATTTCTTTTTTCGACAAAATTCACATAAACCTGTTACTTAATACTGAAGATTGTTAATTTTAATTTCTGAGACACTTTATGAAAATACTTATTTATAAAGAGTGAGTCTTAGATAAGTACAAATATCCAGCGATTCTCAAAATCAAAGATCCAGCAATTCTCAAAATTTAAGCGAAAAAATATTTTTTTATCTCGGTTATATTCTCCTCTTATCGCATTCTCCTCGAATTCTTTTATCGAGATCTACCAGCCCTGAAAATATTTGCACTTAATTAACACTCACCCTGTATAAAAGATATTTATTTTTTGATATTTTACATTTACTTTTAAATTAATTAATAGTAACTTGGTTTCAATCTTTCCAGCATAATTCGATTAAGTAACTTCAAATTATTCCTATTAATATCCTAATAATTTATTTTGAGTAAAATTACTAATACTAATAAAATTACTTTTGAGTCCATGTTATAGGCTCAAAAAGTAATTTTTTCAACATGCATCCTTTCAAATTATGCAGTGTTCATCATATTCTTTCTGAATAAGTTGTTTGCTAGAGACGCTTGCTGGTGGTGCAGACTAGAAATGTATAAACTGTTGGTTTGTTTCTGTATGGAGGTGAATAATTTACACAAACTTTACTTATTAGTAGGATATACGAATAATTTATATAAAAGCACGATTCCTGTTAAACCTAACCTAACTTGTAAAAACTTTACGCTCAAAATTAAAGCTAATTTGAGCGATCGTGAGAACTTACAGTCTGGGTTGTGGCTGATAATCACACGCTTTTTATGCCGAGAACGAGACCGAGATCTCGATCCGGACCATATATTAATTTTAATAAGTCAAAACGTGAGCCAAACCCTGCAAAGTTATGGCGAAAAAAAATGTTTCTTCGTATTTAACTTGGTTTCCGGTCTTTAATATTCGATTAAGCCAACTAAAATTATTCTATTAATATTCTACTAATTTTATTTTTAATAAATGTGTTTTTTATAAATGCTTTGACTTTAATTTTTTGTATTTTTCTAAAATAGACAAATTTTATTTTTTTTATTATCAACACCTTTCTTTGATTATTTTGAGATCATTTTTTAGATTTTAAACCGTTATTAAAAATATTGATTACTTACAAAATTATTTGTTTATATATACAGGGTTAGGCAATAGTGCGTCGGGCATCTGTAGCGGGTAGAATAAAAAAACTTGAAAATTTTGAGTGCTAACCTAAGGAAACATGTATAGGATGTATTTCAGGACAATATTTGGATCAGGATGATTTTTTTTTAAATGGAACATGTAACATCTTATTGTTTGGCTTCCTTTCAGATCACTTTACATAATCGTAAGATACAGTAGATATATTTCAATAGTTTCAGAGATATTTAATAAATAAATAAAAAAATATATATTTTCAGCTTCTTTCTTAAAAATTATTAAATACAAAGAACTCTCCGGAAATCAAAACTATAGTAGGTATTTATGTTAGATGGTCTTGACCTTACTTTGCTATAAATATAGTAATCTTAAATCATACAGAATGTTTAAAATTCTACATAAACTTTCTAAAATATAAAATAAATTTGCTTCGTTTTTTAAAATGGAACAATGATAGAGGTTAAATTATTTTCACAAATAAATATTAATACGTACTTTAGGTTTGCACTTAAACAAGATTTATAAATTTTTTATTTTAGAGCTACAGATGCCACGACGCACTATTGCCCCGAACTGTTTCCTAAAAGTCATTATAAAAATAGTTTTTTATAAAATCGGGCTTTTTTAAAGAAAATATACTTTTTTAAGTAATTAGAGACAAAAGCGTGTAGAACGATGTCATTTCGATATATAAAAGATTTATTCACTTTTCATAAAAAATAATTTGTGCCAAATATTTAACTCATGACTGAAAAACAGGCTTGCATCAGATATGTTTGCTTGTGTCACGAGAATCGGCTGCTTTGGTTTCTTTTGTCAGATTTTTATTCATAACTTTGCAAAGTATGAGACACGTTTTGTCTTGACTTATTAAAATTTATATGTAAACTCTTTAGTGTTATTAGTTAATTGGTAAAATAACAAATATAGTATATCCACTTCAACGAATATAATATCGTTTATCATTAAGTGTTTGGAGGAAATATATTTAATTACAGACATATGTATATGGAGATTGTAATAAATAATAATGTTTGTAAAAAAGTAATTCATTTCTAATAATCATTTGAAAGAAGGACAATGATAGAGTTAAATTATTTTCCTGAAATGCAATCTAATACGTACTTTAGGTTTGCACTTAAACAAGATTGCTAAGTTTTTTTATTTTAGGAGCTACAGATGCCCGACGCACTATTGCCAGACCCTGATTTCCCTAAAAAAGTCATTATAAAATAGTTTTTTTATAAAATCGGGCTTGATTTTTAAAAGAAAATATATACTTTTTTAAGTAATTGAGAGACAAAAAGCGTGTATGAACGATAAGCTCATTTCTGATATATAAAGATTTTATGCCATTTCATAAAAAAAGACTTTGTGCCAAATATTTAACTCATGACTGAAAACGGGCTTGCATGGAGATATGTTTGCTTGTATCACGAGAATCACGGCTGCTTTGGTTTCTTTTTGTCTGATTTTTATTCATAACTTTGCAAAGTATGAGACTTTTGTTTTTGTCTTGACTTATTAAAATTTATATGTAAACTCTTTAGTGTTATTAGTTAATTGGTAAAATATAACAAATATAGTATATCACTTCAACAGGTATATAATATCGTTTATCATTAAGTGTTTGGAGGAAATATATTTAATTGCAGACATATGTATATATACAGAATGTTTAAGATTGTAATATAAATAATAATGTTTGTAAAAATAATTAAATTTGCTAATCAATTTGAAAGAGGACAATGATAGAGGTTAAATTATTTTCCTGAAAATACATCCTAATACGTACTTTTAGGTTTGCACTTCATTAAACAAGATTGCTAAGTTTTTTTTTAGGAGCTACAGATGCCCGACGCACTATTGCCAGTGCTCTGATTTCCCCTAAAAAGTCATTATAAAAAATAGTTTTTATAAAATCAGGCCTTGATTTTTTAAAGAAAATATATACTTTTTAAGTAATTAGAGACAAAAGAAGCGTGTAAGAACGATGTCATTTCGATATATAAAAGATTTATTCACTTTTCATAAAAATAATTTGTG